AAGTCATACACGGAGAGCTCTGCGAGAGGAGTCGCTGCTGTCTGAAAATGCATGAGTAATGCAGACTGTATAGACGTGTGGTCAGCTGCGGCATGCTTGTCCAGGCAAACAGAGAAAAGTCTTTTTTTTTAATCTTTTCTATGCTGAGCTCCAAAACAAAGACACCTGGCAGCTTATTCCTCTCACTGCCAAGAGCGCATAAAAGCTTCGGGCATGGTTTGTGCTAAAAATACACTTTTATGATGACATATCTGAGCCAACTTTGCAGCTTTTTCTTGATTAAGCTGAGGCCCCGGGCAAATGTCTTCTGGTATTCCAGAGATATTTCGACACTTACTCAAACCAGATCATATTTTTGCTGTGTGACTGTTTGGATTCCTTGGCAGAATGCAAGTCAGAATGCTTTTGGTTAGAGTGAGATGCCATAGTCATACCACAATGGTCGCATAAGAATGAGAACATCTGACCTTACTGACACTCACAACAGAAAAGGAAAAGCACAGCAAACATCACATTTTAGCTTTTTTGAAGCTCATTTAGCAAATCTAATCAGCTGATGCAACTCTCGTCTCTTCCTTTTGCCATACCTCCTGATTCCATACACACCACGTGGATCTCAGGCCAAGTTGGGCTGAGGTGATTCATGCCACACAAGGGGTGTTCTCTCGTTCTCCCTCTCTAGTGGCTGTGACTCAGGAAGTGCTTTTATTCCATTACCCAGCATCCAGCGTCTCAGGCAGACAGAGGTTTACGGGAATACCGTTGCAGAATCATCACCGGGCCTTTGCTTTATGAATCAATGGAACATGCTGCAAATATTACACCCTGCAACACCCTTCCCAGGCAGCACCCTCACATTTGCCCATAACTCACTGCTGAGCTCATGCAATATGCAAAGACGTGGGCTGAGGCTCTTTAGCTCGTGGGAATGCAGCGAGTGGTGAGAAAACCCAGGAAAAGAATGTTACTATCAATGTGCTACTTTTTATATATAAACAGGTCCGTGTGTGTTTTTCCAAGGAGAACAAGCGGACAAAGAGAAGACAGTTCATGATGACGCATTCCACATAAAGTACAGCTGGCTGAAAAAAAAGCATAACCAAAAAATGTGCTGTGTAGTTTTTCATTATCTGGTTAGCTTCAGCAGAGAAATTAAAAGGTCAAATGTCACAGAGCAGCGGTAGCAGCAAAACGTTTCTGAGGGTTGATCAGTCTTTCAAAATATCTTTGAGAAAAAGTGCCTATAAGCTTTTTATCACTGCCACTACTTTTTGGCAAAAGGAGTTACAGCGATACTGAGACCCACAGCCTTCGTACAAACTTCAGCCGCACTGAATAAACTGATATTTCAGTGCTCGTGTCAGCGTTTTCTCCTTTACACAGAAAAGTGATCGGCAGAGGAACTTTTTTCTTCCTTTCTTTTCTTAAAAAATTATATTTTTAAGAAAAAAAAAGATGAAAATGATTCACTATTTAAAAAGTAAAGTTTAAAAAGCAAACAACAAAAAATGACTCTGTATAGTAAACGATACAAAACACTGCAACAGCTGAATATTAACCCAGATGATGATTTGTATTCTTTAACTATTGCTTTGATTTTTTTGTGACCCGATTTGGATAAAACCAAATTTTCCTAGCTTGCTTAACAGCCTTTAAAATATAAAAATATATGAACTTTCATTAAATTCTAGACTTTTAGTCTAGACTAGATTTAATTAATTACCAACTATGACATTATGACACTTTTTCATTCCTGAAGCTTTGTGTTAGAACACTGGGGAGAATACTTGTTACAGCTTCTGGTAACAAGTTAACAAACCACAATGTAAAGTCACTGATTTGTGTCGACTTTCTTAACCTTTCAGCATTAAACCAAAACAGTTCAGCAACAACACAACTGAACTCTCCCCCAGAAACAGTGAAATCCAAGCAAAAATAAATCATATTGTCTGGGCATACATCAAATACGCTTAAAGGCATTTTAAGCCTCAAGTCACAGGTAGTTTAAGAAATTTAAAACCCGTTGAAGCAGCTGAAGCAAATATTCTCCCAGAATTATAGATATATAAACATTTAGATGTGACACAAATCTAATGATTTAGATGAAAACCTATACTCAGAATCTAGCCAACAGAAAGTATTGGAATACTGATATTTTTATGTAATCACCAGTTTCCTCTTAGGCTTGGCTCAACACTGGGTTTTGATGAACGAGGATATTTTGGGACATTTAATTACTCTGATTTGTCTGACTGTTTTAGAAAAGGCGACTCTGACGAGCTTTTCTTCTGTTTTTCAGATACATTCGACACCACACGGGGAACAATTCACACAGTTTGCTTGGAACCGCTGCTTTTCTCACAATAAAGACTTTGCACTTACAACTGAAATTATTCACGGGCTACTGGGAAGCTGTCATTAAGTGTATTACACTTCAGAGGCTGAAAGCAGCTCTGTAATGGTTGGTTGTTTCTCATAACAGTCAGATTATCGCCCCACAGTCTGACGTCTGGGGGAAAACACAGGAAACCAAGTCAGTCTGAGGGAATTTCACATTGATACCAACGCCACTTCCCCATAAAAATAGTGTCTGAGGATATCAGTGCACGCAGTGTATGCTCACACAGTGTCTGTTTACAATATATAAGATCGATGCTATGGAGGTTGGTGAGTTTATGTGCTTACACTGGTACACCGGTGTGGCACAAAAACATACAAGCTCAAATGTTGATTACTCATCTCTTTAGAGACATCCTGTGCATTATCTGAGAGCAGCAGTGTGGGACACCAGCACACTCTTCAGACTCAAACATTTCCTTAAATAAGCTGAGACTCAGCAGCATCGTTCTGGCCAGAAGAAACTTCAGTAAGATATCAAATGATGCTAGAGTAGACAATTCATTCAAAGCTGATATTCAGCTGGTTTCCTTGCAGGCTTAATATTTTTTTTGCTGGTGGGCGCTAATATTTATAGCACAGTTTGACCTGCAGTGTTAGAGTGATTAGCCAGCGTTAAACTCACAAAGAGGACGGCAAAAATAAGCACACTGTCTAAAGTCATGCACAGATTTAAGTGTTGTTTGACTTGGTGTGAAGAAAAATAGAGAAAATGGTCATTTTCTATAGTTATGCTGGAAACTATTTTTAAATGGAAAAGCATAGCTCTTTAAACATTATGTATATATATATTGTTTAATGCTCTCTCATTCACCGACTCTCATTCAAGTCAGTGGTTTCACACTTGTAAACACTTGTGCAAACAATCGAACACAATGAAGAAAAACTGGCATACAGCATGTTTTTTGCAGTTTGGGAGCAATTAGAAAACCAGCAAAGCAGTTCCAAATGCAAACATCTTGTGGTGCGTGACAGCTTTCCTCCAAGGATTAGATGAAACACCACCACCTACATTTGAATCGCTGTTATCACTGAGTAATACTTCACTTTTTGCAATTACAGGGTTCACGGTAAAGGTCGGGAATCTCCTATCTGAGTTAAGTTCTTCCTCTGCTGTCTCACTTCCATTAGGAGAAATATTACAGGCGCTGTTTGTTCTGAGATCCCTTTCAGAATAAATCTAAAGTAATGGTGGAGAATGCAGCCTTAATTCCAGCTCTGTCCCCAAATGGGAGTACGTAATATGACCGGGCTGAAATGAGGCATTATACAAAAGACCGATGAGTACTGAGATCATTTTCATACTCCATGACTATAAAACACTGTAAAAATGCCTGTAATGCAGCACATCTTTGTGCAGGCTAGAAACATTAGAGTTCACATTAAACATAATTAAACTTTGTATTCCTGAAAGCTACAATAAAATATAATGTCGCTGAATCAGTCCGTGCTTAAGGAAACTGTTGCTGGATGAAGTTTTGCTTGCCATAAAAAGGATGACCTTATTAAAATTTCACTTTATACATTCAGGCATCTGCCTCAGTGTTAATCTGCATAACGTAAACTACAAACACACAACACATCTTGCATTCCCACAATTTACGGGAAGCGAGTTCAAAAGCGCTGAAAAGACAATGAGACAATTCATTGTGGTGCGGGATGCTGGGGATGGAGGGCTGAGGGCACAACTGTGCTCTGAGAGAACTCATAAATGCCGAGACACATTCAGCAGACATGTGTTTGTGTTTAGGACCGAGAAACAATAATCAAATCCGTTGATCCTCTTCTTGCTGCAAGGGTGATTGCTAATATAAAAGTCTGTTCAGTCTAATCAGAATTAGGACGGGGCTGTAATTACCTCCACCCACTCACAGCAGAACTGTCTAAACAGGATAGCACAGACTAAAAACACAGTTTCCACTCTGTATACTGTTTATATTCCACTTTCATCTAATTTTTGCTTTAAAGAGTTTCCCTTCACTGATAAACCTCCAGCCCTGCTTCTTCATTTTTTAACCAACAGGCACCAAATGACTCATATAAGAATATTTTAGCAATTTAAGCATACTTAGTTAACTAAAAGCCCTAATATTTTTCTCAAATTGAGACCAAATAGACAGTTGCAGCTGTCCAAGAAAGAGTTTTCCTATTGTTAGATAAACCAATGTGACACTGAACTAAACTATTCCTTGTTAACACACATAGGAAGTGCACATTTGCTTGGCAGCTTTCTGTATCCCTTCACAGGAGTCTTTGATAGATCGTTTATGAATTGGCCAGCACCCACATGAGGTCTGAGTTTAATTAAAAGGCCTAACGCACAACTGCAAACAATGCTCTTTACACCAAAGTGCAGCTATATCAAAGGACGCTCTTTAGAAGCCATGTGGAAGCAATATTCATTCAGATGATGGCTTTTTAAATCACTCTCAAATAACCAGAACTGCTAACTGCTCAAACTGTCTGGCTGAATGTGCCACAACGTTTGTTTTAAATAAAGAGATGAAAAAACATTTCAGTTTCCTTCAACTGGCGAATCCACTCAGTTAAAGGACTTTGCAACATCCTCCGTGCTCAGCAGCAGGAGTGCCGACAGAGCCTACCTTGCACCGGCGGGAGAGAGAAGCACAAGCGCGCAGTTTTGCCTGACAGATGCGCTTTTTCCTCGGAGAGTCGCTTCGGGCTGGCGCAGTTCATGTGAGTCGGGGTGTCATGAGGGCTCCGGCAAATCTGCGATCCGAAGCCGTTCCCTGCTCGCCGCGCACAGATGTCTCCCTTGCTGCCGTACACGGAGAGCGTCAAGCCAGTGAAGTCGGTGAAAGCAGGGGTCTGGCAGTGGCTCACCATCCCGAACAGCGCTGAGGAGTTTTGCATTAATGACCTGGTGCGGTCCCCGCTCACATTACCTGTGCGCGTGAAAAGAAAAAGGTCAACAAATCGCTGCAGTCTATATGAACCAGGGGGGAAATCGTCACATTGGGAAACTTCGGGGATTTGGCAACACCTACCTTGTCCAATTTGTTTACGAGGAGCAGAAAGAGTCTAAACGCGCACACGACCATGCTTATCAAAGCGGAGAAGGAAGGACTTGCACGCCTGATCGATAGCATCCTCTCAGTGGCGACCAGACATCACAGCATCCCGTGCACACACCTCTCTCTCTCTCTCTCTCTCTCTCTCTCTCTCCCTCTCTTCCCCCCTCTTTTTGCGTGAGATTGACACCCAATAGGAGCGCCAATAAGGACGGTGTCCGTGTTTCCGTGGGGGGATGAGATCTGGATCGGGACGATGCAGCAGTTCTGAGTTACGCACGAATCAAGATTCGAATAAACTCCCATAAAGTTGTGTGCAATATCCTGCATCATCATGCGTGTTTATGACGCGCCCGTTATCATTCAAAGCTCGCTGTTACTCATCATGATGTGATCGACACTATGTCACAACACGGAATTTCAGCGTTTAATGACCCACCGCTCCTGGGGGGAAATGTAAGCATTTATGAGAACAAGCATAGTTTCATATAAGGCTATGTCGAGGCTTTTATTGAGCAGATCGGATCAGGACTCTCCGTCTCAGTCCGTTTGGTTATGGATTTGTGTTTGTGGTTTCCACGCTGCTTTTCCACAGAGGCTTGGCTTAATTTAAAGAAAAATAAAAACATGAGGGGAACTGTTTATACCAATAAATCCCTTTGTATTCAATTCAATTGGTCAGTTTGCTCGAGCCGCCAAAATGATTTCAGTTATTTTATCTGTTCATGAAAATCACGAGTTTTCAATAACTAGTAATATTCATGGGATTTAATCTCTATTGTTGCGCTTAAATTGGAAACATTTCTCAAAAATAATGTAAAAAGCACAAATTATTCTAAAGCTTTCCTCTTATTTATGGCAGTCATCTGAGAGGCACGCGCCACCACTCTGTGGCCAAACTTAATAATTATCTAAACAAGTTTAATATCAGCGGTAACACAAAACCTTCATATAGAAAACCACCAATCAAAACCACCACTGTTGCCTAAGTAACCCACAGATTTCATTTCAGTTATGATCAAACGGGTCTTTTCTGCGATGCTGACCTGGTGCCTCACCCTGTGAGTGATCGGCTTTTCTCTCGCTCTCTTAACGAGAACTGCATTTTCTTAGAAAATTCTGCAGCGCCATCTTGCGGTGTTTACATGGAAACGAAGATGCTCAGTAAAGACTAATCGAAACAGTTGCGTAAATACACGGAGGTGAAGGAAAGTTTATAAATGCCTTAGGAGATAAATGGCGGGAGTAAAGTGTGAGGAAAATATCGGCTGTAAAAATGTGCTGCCTTTGTTTCTTCATCCGGTTATTCCAATTTACTAAACTTAACTAAAGGTTGGAGTTTGTTTATAATTTCCTGTGTGTTACTTAAAACGACAGTTTTTGTTTCCAATGTTTCCTCTGATCTATTTGTCTAAACGGCAGAAAATGAATTGGAGGACTTCAGGGCCTGGCACTTATCTCTAAGACTTATCTCTAAGACTTATCTCTAAGACTTATCTCTAAGGGAGTTTGAGGGGACAGTTTGAAGATGCTACGTTTAAAAAATAATTCAAAAAGATTTTTTCACCCATTTTATAGACCAAGGGTTTATTGAACTGCACATGTGGCATACTAATCTGTAATTTTAATGTTAATAATTATTAACCGCATGCTTAAATCATACTCAGCTTACAAGAACCATTTTATTACAGATCAACATCACAGCATAACTATTGTTATTTAAGTGGAGATGCTGTCTGTGCCTTCTTCTCCTCTCACTCGGACTATTGTGATGCACTGTTTTCTTGTCTGACTAAAACATTTATTAAACCTCCAGTCTGTGCGAAATGCTGCTGTAACAAGTCTCTGAAAATTACTCCACATCTGACATTTTTAAACTGGCTTCCTGTTATGTTTAGAGTTCATCATTTATCATCATCATTTATTTATTTATATAGCACTTTAAAAACACACTTAGTAGACCAAAGTTCTGTACAATACTAATATGCACATAGTAATAAAACCAGACATAGCAATAAAATTGAAAAAAATATATATATCAGTTACAGAGTTAAAAGCCAGAGAATAAAAATAGGTTTTTAATAAAGACTTAAAAACGGGCACTGATGTAGCCTGTCTAATATGGAGAGGAAGGTTATTCCAAAGCATAATATTCATTATAAAATTATTGATTGATTTTATTCATTTTAAAATCCTGGTTCTTAGTTTTATGGGCCCTTCCTACATTATGGAACTGTTCTGGCCCTAAGAGCCAGGTTATGGTGTTCTCGGATAGGGGCCTTTTTATGATTCCAACTAAAGGGGGTTCTGCCTTTGCTCCAAAACTATGGAACAGCTTACCAATATCTCTTTGCACCCTCTGCCCTTGGCATGGGTCTGGATTTAATCCATTTACCTCTGTAAAGCACTTTGCAACTGTTCTCTGTCCTGAAAAGTGCTACAAAAATAAACTTTACTTACATACACAAACTTGTTGATCAAGCACAAAATGTGAATTTCTAGGGCTGACCTCCTGAGGCACTGACCCATGCTACAAATCGCCTTCAACAGGATTCCCCATAAGGTGTCACAGATAAGAAGGTTGAGAGGGTCATGCAAGATCCTGCAACAAGTGGACAAATAGTAAGAGGCTCCCAGTTTTTCTTATATCGGTGCGAGACTCAGGCCAAGAAAATTTAATTCTTCACTTTTTTGACCTCACTGCAAAACATTTTATTGTTCTTTAGACCATATAGCCCATAAGATTAGGCTAAGACAAGTAAGCCTTCTTAATGGGTTGAAGTATTTTTTTATACTTTTTATTTTCTCCCAAGACGATTTGGTCTTTCCAGGGCTGCAGGTAAAAGAAAGTAGAAGAAAGATTTTCTAACATGAATGAATCACGTCACGGGTTCAGCAACACTTTTAGAAACTGCTGTTTCTCAACACAGTTCACTAACAAATTTTGTTATCAAGACTCAGGTCAAAAGCCTACATCTCTCGTGGTATGAGGGTGCATTAGTGCCTATGGAGCTAGTAGCTTGCACACGTGGAAACGCACCATCAATGCTAAAAGCTACATATAGGCTTTAGAGCAAAATGTGCTCCCATCCAGATGGCTTCTTTTTTAAGAAAGACCGTGCATATTTCAGTTACACAATACACAGACATAAACACAACTCTTTTTGAGACCATTTTTATTTTTGCAAATTCAAAACTACCTCCCTTACTTTTCCTTAAAATGTTACATTTCCTCAGTTTTCTGTATATTGTGAATAGAATATGGAAACAGTTGCATTCTGTTCTAATCAACATTTTACACAGCATCCCAGCTTTTTTGTTTGCAAATGTAGAAGTTTTAACACTGGAAGGTAGCCTTTATATTTTATCTGAAAACTTTATATTACAGGGTTCTCATTGACCTAAAAAAACAGTGTAAAAACTATTTACCAGTGTGCCCAACTTCTACTGGTCAACAGTAGAGAGTATTCTGACCTACTGCTGCACAATGTGGCTCACCAGCTGCACAGAAGAAACAAAAGAAGATCAGATACGGGTGGTGAAGGCAGCCAAGTGTGTCACTGGTGCATCTCTACCCTCCCTCGGTTATATTCACACCAGCCAGCTCCAAAAGAAAGCCAGCTGCATTATAATCAGTGTTGGGCAAGTTACTTTGAAAAAGTAAGTAATTATAGTTAGTAGTTACTTCTTCAAAAAAGTAACCGAGTTAGTAACAGAGTTACAATATTCTAAAAGTAATTCATTACTTGAAAAGTAACTATTGTGTTACTTAAAAAAAGTTTAACCCTCTGGGGTTCAGGGTATAATTGGCCATTTTTGACTACTTTTGATTTTCCCTCCACATTTCACCTTTAAAAACGATTTACTTTGTCTTGTTTGGTCTCATCCTTTTCAGCACAGCCTCATGTGTCTGAATTTACAGTTATGTTTTCATTTTGACAAACTGTATTAACACAATTGATCTAAAATCAGACAAAAAACACAAAATCAGAATAGAAAAGGTTATATCTTTTTACTGTAACAACCACAAACATGTTTATCGAATCATATTTCATAACTTTACATGCAAATATAAATTGTCAATTTTAAAATCCTATGTACAAGTGTTGCAAACAACAAAGTTATTTGCAGCCATTTACCTTTCACCCTTTTTTAAAAATAACCATTTCAAACTATTTACATAAAATCAGCTGTTTGCATTCAATAAGATGCCACATATATTATTTGTGCCACTCTAAATATTTCTTTTGTTTTGTTTTTTTGTTTTTTGCTCAATTACAACAGCTCAACATGTTTGTGTAAATAAAAGGTAGTCTGTCATCTGAGAGCTCATTCATGGAGAAACTGGAAAGAATTTGCCATGTAACCTTTTTGACAGCTGGCTTTTAAAACAAACTACAACCACCACCTGTGAGTGTGTTCATGTAGCCAGGTAAAAACTGCACTTCCTTCGTCCCACTGAAAATGTGAGGTGATTACTAGACGTCATTAGCGATAAAATAAACATTAAGCTAAAAAAATCATCAGTGTTTCCTGCTACCGGGCAGAAACTTTTCAAAGCATCGTTTTGGAGCAAACTTTTGTATTATGAAATGAAATGTTGATTTTATGTCTCGATGACCTACAATTATAATTAAAGTTAATCTTACTATAATAAACCAAATATCAGTTTGTCCGTGAACTCCTCTTACGCGCCAACGGTCATGTTGCCAAGCAACCACTTACTAGCAGGACCTCGGCTAATTTTAAGACAGTCGTACTCATTTATATCTTCTACTTTTTTGATTTGACTTTGATTTGATGTTTCTTCATAGTGGGAAATATTGAAGAAAATTAGCTCCCAACTACGCTATGGGATGCTTAGCAAGATGAAAACGCGGATATTAATATGTAATCAACAGAAAGCGTATTAAAGCGCAGAATAACAACTGTTATCGTCGCGTATATATAATTTATTTTTCTTCTGTTAGTAAAATAAACGATCTTACACGAAAGACCGTGAAGGCAGCACAGTGGGAGGGAGCCTGAGCAACAATTTTAAACGAGCGATACGAAGAGTTCCGCTGGAGACGCCTTGAAACACGGGACGTACCACCGGCAAGCTGCTGCCATGTTTCTGCAAAAAGTTCTGCTTTATTTGTCGACAGCATGTATGTTTTGCTACATGTTGGGACTGTTTCTCATGCTGGCGATATTGCAGTTTTTCTCACCAAGCCTTGCGAAGAAGTTCATACTTCGCATGGGTGAAAAGATCACCATGACCCAGAATCCCAGGTTTAACTATGAGGATTGGGGTCTGACATTTATGTCCTTGGCATTTATTAAAACTGCTTCTTTTCACATGTGGCTGTCTCTCGGAGAAGAGGCGTTTGTGGGCGGAGACGCTCCAGACTCACCTGTGGTCACTATGGACCGCGAGAAAACCAGCATCTCCAAGTATCTAAAAGGTGCGTTAAAGAAACCCAGACTCGTCTGCTTTTATGCGATGCTTCTTTGCGCCAACATTGCCGTTTCTCTGCAGGCAACAGAGCGCTTGTGCTGAGTTTTGGAAGTTGCACCTGACCCCCGTTTATGTATAAACTTGATGAGTTCAAGCAACTCGTCAAGGACTTCAGCGATGTAGCCGACTTCCTTGTGATCTACATCGCAGAGGCTCATTCAACAGGTGAGTACAAGTTGTTTGCAGAACCGGAAATTTGTGGCTGGAGACATGTGGCCAAAATATCACCAAGCAAGAAAGTGAAGTTTTTTTTGTTTCTTTAAGATCTGAATTCTGCTGATGAATGTTTCGTTTCATCAGCTTGAAGCTAAACTCAGGAGATGCAGATCTGTGATTGGCTATTGGACGTTTGTAACCCAGTTATAGCATTCATTATCTCTATGAACACACGAACTACTTATATGCTTTCTGTTTCATGTGAAAACGCACTCTCGGTTTCACTTGCAGATGGTTGGGCCTTTAAGAACAACTATGACATCAACCAGCACCAGAGCCTGGAGGACAGGCTGTCTGCGGCACAGGTCCTGGTTCAGAGTGAACCCCTGTGTCCTGTGGTTGTGGATGAAATGACTGATGTCACCACCATAAAGTACGGAGCTCTGCCTGAGAGGCTTTACGTTCTGCAGGCTGGGAAAGTGCTCTACAAGGTAAGACAGGTGCAAAACCGGCAATTTCTCGAATAGTTTCTTTCCGAGCTGCTAATTGATGAGTTGTTTTTAGAGAGCAACGAGGGCAAATTCTTTCACTTTTCACTCACTGCTTCTCTCATGCAATTTGAAGCCATACCAGCATTAAGGGCGTGAGTGCAATCTGCACTATCTCAACACACACTATCGCGTGTGGTGCAGGAGTTAAAGAAGCATATTGGCACTGAACCAGGCTCACGGCAGCCGGACCAGATATGTAGTTTAGATGACAAAAACCTGTTTGTTGTCCTCTCGTTTGAATTAAATTAGTATCTTTATAATAAAGTGTAATTAATTATGCTTTTAACATTTGTT